AAGTAAAGCATGCTGATTTATTGATAGTGTCTAAGTATGAAACACTATCTGACTTCAGAGTATACAAATAAATGTTCCTTCCAAGCATATGGTTTGGATGAGAGTTGGCATTTTAAACAACCCATCATGCTGGCCATCGTGATTAATCCAAGGAGTGTCCCAACCTGAGCCAGACTTTGCATTGGAGCTGGGACTTTAAATTTATACTTAAGGGAAGTGACTCACTAGGAAACTTGGAGCTCAGGTGTGCTGAATGTCTTACGTTGAGGATGTGGATAACGGCCAGCCCAACAGAAAAAGAACCATGTCCAGACAAAGGCCAAGACAAGGGAGTTTCTGCTTTCAGAGTCCATTTTTCACCAAGAAAGAAAATGCCTATTTTTTTTTTTCTTCATCCCCAGGAACCCGGACCCTAACTCCTTCTTATTGTTAATGGATGTTATCAGGTCAGATACGACTCATAGCAGCATTAGGAACAGTAGATCTGAACCGCGCCCTGTGCTGCAGCATCCTCTCCATCTCCGATATGCTTGAGCCCACGGTTACAGCCACTGTGCCAGTGCATCTTGTAGAGGGCCTTCCTCTCTTTCACTGCCCCTCTACCTTCCCCAGGATGATGTCCTTCTCCAAGGACTGGTCCCTCCTGACACCATGCCCAAAGTCTATGAGACCAAGTTTCACCATCCTTGCCTTCAACCTATTGTACTTCCTCCAAGACTGACTTGTTCAGGCTGTTTGTTTTGGGGTTGTTGGTTTTTTGTTGTGTTTTGCTTTTTTTTTTTAGCAGTCCATAGAATATTCAATACTCTTCTCCAATGCCACAATTTAAAAGTATCAATTCTTATTCTGTTGCCCTTAGTCATTGTCCAACTTTCTGAAGCATAGAAAGTAATTGAAAAGACCATGGCTTGGATGAGGCCCACCTTTGTCTTTAAATTGACATTCTGAACCTAACTAGGAATGAGTCAAGTCTAGGGCATCTTTTTCTACTCTGCAGGCCAAGCAGTCCAACTCTTCCTTGTAGAGCGCTCTGCCAAGCTCAGAATCCATGCTCAGAATTGTTCTATTAAATTTTCTTTTATTGTTAAAATACAGATAATATATCTGCCAATTCAATATTCATCATGTATACATTTCAGTGAGATCAATTACCTCAGTCCTGCTGTGTAACCGTCACCCATTTCCTTTGCCAAATGTCCAATCCCCAGAAATAAAAGCTCAATGCTTCCTAAACAATAATTCTACCCCAGCTCCCCCTTCCTCGGGCCCCTTGTAACAACTGTGAAACTCCAGTCTCTATGCATCTCCCTATTCTAGGTACTTTCTATTTCTAGGTATTTAATATGTCTTCTCTTTCAGCTCTGAGTTTACATCACATCTCACTTATCTTACTTCTACGGTGTATTTCAGAGGCTCAGGGCACAAGGATCAACCAAGTCAGTGAACTAGCTAGCACAGAACAAAGCTGGGCAACAAACCAAGAAGCCCGATCATGTTCTGAATGCCTGTGAAGATAGCAAAAAGAGAGTACATGGGGAAAGCCGAAATTGCTGAAATTGATAGCCCAGGCAGGCAGACTTAAGCCCTGCACAATTTGTAGTCTGTTGGGTTGAAGGTTTCCTAGTTTTTTATGTAGGTTTGTGGTGATTCTCCCCATTCTTTCCTTGAAAATATGTTTGCACACAGCAAATTTCAATACAGAGAGTGTTCACCTCAACTCAGTGCTGTTGAGTCCAGATAACAATTTATGCAGCTGGTGGAACCAACTCATAGCTAACCCTCCAGAGGGATTTTCAGAGATTATCAATTACACTGGAGGAGGAGATTGTCCATCTTTCCCCCATGGAGCTGCTAGAGGATTCAAACTCCCTACCTTTGGGTTGGCACCACACCTCCCTATCCACTAGACCATGATAGCTCTGTTAGAGTGTTACCTAATTTTATTGTCTAAGGTAATGGATCCATCAAAGAATATAGTTGACAGCTTTTGAAAGTTTAAATAAAAAAGTCACAGGAATACTCCACAGGCTCAATTTTCAAGCAAACAGTAGACTTGTTTACAAGGTAAGCTGTAACCCTCAGGGAACAAGATGGTTCCTTTGAACAATCAACTGCTCCAGAATCAAAGGAGCATTTGCCCAGGGACGAAGTTCAGAAGCTGAGAAAGAATAGGAAGGAGAAAGAAATGTAAACAGGAAACACAGGCCAAGTAGAAAGAGTAATATTAATTGGTGAAGATTGCCAAAAAAATGGCAGTTCTAACACAAACCACCTCTACCATAACTTCTCACTATGTCTCTGTTGGGTTAAATAATTTGTTGCAGAGTCCACACAAAACTCACAGACAATATCATTATTTGGGGTTTATTAAGGAAGGTACAGGAGCCCTGATGGAGCAGTGCTTAGAGTATTGAGAGGCTAACTGCCAGCTGCTCTATGGGAGAAAGCTGAGGGGCCTATAGAGATTTACAGTCACAGAAACCTGATGGAGGGTCACTGTGAGTCAGAACCGACTAGACAGTAATGGGTAGGGAAGTAACAGAGAATTCAGGATATAAGTCTTTGATCAAGACAGTCTCTTCTCTCTGGCCTCTGACCAGTCTCTGCTCTGCTCAGCCGAGTATTGCAAAGCTCTGTTAACACTGACATTTCAAGTACCAGTGGCATCCTATCCCTTCACAAACCTGGGTCTGAGTATGCTTGGTTATAGTATCATGGAACAGTAAACCTAGAAGAGTCAGTGAATGTAGCTCCCCCAACAAACATCCGAAGGTATTCTCTCTGCCAGCAAGCACTCAGCGTGTCTCTCTACAGACCAGGAACCCACAGCTCTGTTTTTCACACTGGTCTCCTGGATTTTGCCATCTCTGCTGCTGCTACCACTGCCACTCTCTCATCTCACGCCATTCAGCACAGTTTTTCAGGGTTATTGTTATGTGCTGTCCAATCCCTTCAACTCGTAGTGACCCTATTTACAACAGTTCTGAACCCCACTCTATCTTGAACCAATCTCACTGTCTCCAACACACCTACCCTCATTACCCGGTCATTGATTCAAACCATCTCATCCAGGGTCTTCCTCTCCTGCCCTTCCAAGCATGATGTCCCTCTCCAAGGATTGATCCCTCCTGACCACATGCACAAAATATGTCAGACAAAGCCTAGAAATTCTTGCCTCCAAGAGTAGCTTGGTTTCACCCTCCCCAGGACAGACCTCTTTGTTCTCTTAGCAGTCTAAAGTATGTTCAATACTCTTCTCCAGCACCACAACTCAAAGGCATACATCCTTCTTCTGTTATCCTTAGTCACTGCCCAGCCCTCTGATGCAAAGCAATTGTGAAGACCATAGCTCACTTAGATCAGGCACACCTTAGTCTTGAGCCTGACATTGTTGCTCTTCAATACTCCTGCGACATCCCTGAGAGTTTCCCAATGCAATTCATCTTTTGATTTTCTAACTACTGCTGCCAAGAGTGTTGATTGTGGAATCAAGCAAGCTAAAGCTGTTAATAATCTCAATCTCTTCTCTATCATGATGTTGCCAGTTGGCCCAGTGGTGAGAATCTTTGTTTTCTTGATGTCCAGCTTGAATTTATATTGAAGACTGCAGTCCTTGACCTTCTTCAACAAATGCCTCAGGTCCTCCTCAGGTTCGGAAAGCAAGGTTGTGTCATCTGCATAATACAGGTTGTTGATACGTCTTCCTGCAATCCTGATGCCACGCTCCTCCAGCTCTCTATTTCTTGTTCAAGGAATTTTCCACACAGGGATTTCAAGTCCGGAGGATGTGCTATACTCTCTCTCATTTCTTAATAGTAACACGACTTCCATTCTTCACCTCTGCTGTGGCTGTTTAAATCTGGTGGGATGACAAAACTGACAAGTCCCCAATGTATCGGGTTCTACACATCTTATTTGTGCCACCCAAAACACATCATTTATTTACCTAATTTACATTGTTCCCCTTGGTAGGCCATAACACTCCACATTGATGTAGTCTTATCCAGCCATGTGGTGAGAGTTACAAAGACCATGATGGTTAGAGGGCCCATCAGTAATTCACTCTATCCCAAAGAGCAGTATATTTCCTCCAGGCGGTCAACTCTGACCTTACCTGATAGGCTCTATGTCATCAGTTCCCTCCTGGAAACATTCTTCCCTTCTCCTTGGCCCAACTGCAAAGAGAAATGTTTTCTTAGCTACAGGCTTTTAACAAAGGGCGCTGAGTATTAGAAAAATTAGCAAGTATTAAGATGGAGTCCAGTCCTGGATCCAGACTAGAGATTTTACTAGGGTCAAGTGGCTCAGTTTTGGGGACTTCTACACAGGCCAAGGACAACATGTTTGGAAAGTAGAGGGACAGCACAGGAGAGGAAAGCCCTCAATAAGATGCATCGATACAGTGACCCAAACCACAGGCTTAAGCAGAGCAGACTGGGAGTCCGGTGCAGGACCAGGCAGGACTTGCGTCTGTTGTGCGTGGAGTCGCTGTGAGTTGGAATTGATCCAGCGGCACCTCACCACAACAGTAACACAGGGCACAGGGCCTGCTGGCCTCCTCCTTGACCTGGGCGATGGTCCATCCCTCTACAGGCACGGCAGGCTCTGGAAGACTAATTCATTCAAACGACCACCCTGAGAGACTAGCAGATACAGACTGGTGCTTCATTTTTTTCACAGTGAGAGATGTCAGTGTCCACTGGTCGGAAAGCCTACTTTGACCAGCTGATATGCTTCTGCAGAAAATCTCAGGGGAGCCCTCTCCCCCTGATCTCACCCACCAGCATCCTCAGGCTGTGACAGCTCAGCGCATCTATTATATCCCAGAAGCTGAGCTGTCAGGGGGATCGGATCCATGTGCAACTTCTCCTCCAGAAATCTTTCCTGGGTTCCCTTGAGTTCTCCCTCGCCAAATGAATGACAGAAATCCCCTTGAATGAAGGGACTTCTCCATCTCTCTTCCTCTTGTGACTCCCATCTATCTCTGCTTCCTCCTACAGTGTTCCATCGAGTGCGGAAGTGGAACCCAGCAGAGGGAAGTGATCTGTGTTAGGAAGAATGCAGACACCTTTGAAGTGCTGGACCCCTATGAGTGTGCCTTCCTGGAGAAACCACCGAGCCAGCAATCCTGCCATCTCAAGCCTTGTGGAGCCAAATGGTTTAACACAGAATGGAGCATGGTAAGCCACAGCACTGCTGATAGAGATTGCTTCAGTGCCTCTCATGCCTCTCTGTTCGTTCCCATAGACACAGTCCTGCTATATGCCAGGCACTGGGTCTAGCCCTAAATCTGGTCATTAGTTGCTACCAGGGTGCCCCTGACTCAGCCTGCTAGGTTGGGGACACCTGAGGCTCAGGTGGTCTTGATTTCCACATTACAGAAGCCAGGAAGCAGCATTGTGCATATAAATTACATAAGAATCTTTTTAAAAAGAACAATTCTAGGCACACCCTGGGGGAAAAAAATTTACATTTTGAGGCGAGGGAGGAAACTACATTTTTAGCATGCTTCTTAGGTGAGTTGGATGCAGCTGTTTGTGGCCTGTATTTTGAAATATACTGCTGTGTATACACCTCAGAGAACTGAAGACTGAAGGAACTCGAGGGTGCTGTTTAAAATACTCCATGACAGAAGGATGGAAGGAAGGCAGAGGGAGGAAATGTTCAACTGGGGGGAAAAGAAAATAAAACATTTTGATGTTTAAAAAAGAAAAAAATACTCCATGATGAGCTCCTTGGAAAAATGTATGTCTTTACAGGAGCAGATCGCCAGATTTTTCTCTCACAGAGCTGCTGGGTGGATTTGACCCACCAACCTTTTGGTTAACAGCAGAATTCCTAATCATTGCACCACAGTGTTTATTCTAACATGCCTTGTTAATAGTACAGAACAGCTTTTGGCTTTCACCTCCTTATTTAATGTCATTGGTATAAAGATGATATTTACACAAACTTTATGAACTGTCCATTGGTTATTTATTGTGATCTTTGGTTTTATGGAGCAAGGGTTAGCAAATGTTTTCTGTAAAGTGCCAAATGGTAAATATTTAAACTGTGCAGGCCATACAATCTCTTTTGCAATTGTTCAGCCCTTGTAACATGACAGCAGCCTTAACAATACATAATGAATGAGCCTGACTGGGTTCCAATTAAACTTTATTTACAAAAGCAATTCATGGCTCAGATCCTCCTCATAAACTATAGTTTGCCAACCACTGGTATAGATCCATGGTAAAGGTCTCTGGAAGGGAGCTCTGGATTCGAAGGAATACTCAGTGTTTTTCCTCTGGATTTTTCTCTGTCCTTCAAGGCCAAAGAGAAAGAGAGTTCTCTGTACAACTAAGACTGCTGATAGACCTTTCATACTCTAGTTCTTCCACAAAGGTTTTAGCTAAAAATATCAGGCCTTGGTGCAGGTTCTTAAAGATCGATTATTATTATTACTATTCTTATTCATTGCAAAAACATAGAAATGGAGCTTAAAAGTCAACAGTACACCTTCCTTTCATAAATTAATACTATCAACATAGGAGTTTTCTGTTTGCTTTTAAGGAAGATTCCTCTAACGGGGACTTAGGTAGACTTCTGTATTAAGAGAATAAATGAAACGTTGTCTTCAGAGTCTGTGTTAACATGACAAGATTGAGAATCTAAAATAATTCATTACAATAGCAATTTCCCCCCCTACAGCTCACTAACCTGCTTATTTTATACAATGTGTTCACCTCAAATTTAGTGGACTTAGGTAACTTTATAAGGAAGTGATAGTATAGTCTGTGAGGAGTTGCACAGTGAAGCCAAAAGCTATGCTTCTCTGGTGGTTCAAATCCACATGTGGCTCCACAGGAGAAAGATGTGCCGTCTCTCTGCCATGTGATTTACAGCCTCAGAAACCGGCTGTTCTGTTCATGTCTGCACCTCTGTTCACCTCACTCTCAGTGGCATGAGCTAACTTAGGAGAGAGCAAGATTGAAGTTGTCCGCCTTTGACTTGGCTACACAATCAACGCCCATGGAAGCAGAAGTCAAGAAATCATATTCATTGGGCAAGTTTGCTGCAAATTCCCTCTTTAAAGTGCTGAAAAGCAAAGCTGTCCCTGGCAGGATACAGGTCCACTTGACCTCAGATGTGATGATTTCAGTTTTATGTGTATGTAAAAAGTCGGACAATGAATAAGTAAGACCAAAGGAGAACTGATGCATTTGAATGACCATGTTGGTGAAGGATATTGAACAGACCATGTGAGTGCGAGAAGAGCAAGCTAATCCATCTCGGAAAAAGAACAACCTGGGTGCTCCTTAGAAGTGAGGATACAAAGAGTTCATCTCATGGACTTTAGAAGTGGTATCAGGATGAGCAGTTCCCAGAGAAAGACATGATGCTCAATAGAGAGTCAGGCTCAAACATAGTAATGATTATGAGATTGGCAGAGACTAGAAATGCTTTGTTCTGTTATATGTGATTGTCATAAGTCAGAACCAACTCAATGGCACCCTAAAAACAACACCAGTAACATTTCAGGTCCTGAGGAAATAGAATCTCTCATATATTGCCCATGAGAGTAAAAAATGGTACCACCCTACCCATCGTCACATGGCATTACCTAACAAAATTAGGTGTGCCCTTATCACTTGACCCCAGCAGGTTCTAGGACTCTGTTCTACAGATTGACCTCCTATTTGTTGCAGCAAAAGACTGAAAACATTATAAATATCCATCAGCAGCGACTCACTGAATAATGTACTATACATCCACACAAAATTCAGTGACTAGAGAAAAGTGAGGATCCCACCTATGTGCTATTACTGAGTTGATTTCTAGGATATATTGTTTAGTGAGAAAAATAAAGTAGAGAAAAACATACCATGATTTATCTAAGTAACTGAGGCGTATTGTTGCTAGAGGTCCTCAATTTGAGAGATTGTCTAACTAAGAAAGGAGAGGTTTACATGAATATTTATGAGGTATTTGCATATAAATGTTGATTACATCTTTTTTACGTGAAAGCGTAAACTATGACATTAAAAATGCATGGTTAATAAATAGTTTATACATCTTCAAAAAATGCATGGTTACTAAAGAGTATTGACATAAACCCACACAAAAAAGTCTGTTGATTTTTATTTTTTTTTTGTGCGTGCAGTATATTTCACTTTCAGAGATACATTTCTATGAATCTTTACATAAACAGACTCTCGGAGCTACAATTACAGGCAAGACACCAAACAATCCCATTTGTATTCAAAGATCCTACCGATAGGCATTACCTCTGGGGAGGAAAAAAGGAAAATACCCACACCAAACTAATTTGTAGCTATCTTTTCTAAAATTTCACCCAAAAAATGGAATAATATCACTTAAAACCTTTTGAGACTAGAAGTCACTTAGCAAAAACTCATTTGAAATTTATCCATATTGATCAATAGTTCTATTTTTTTTTTATCTTTTACCACCTGGTATACATATAGTTCCTTTTTATTTTGAGTTCTATTATTAAAATCCTTACTTTGTTGTTGTTAATTGTTGTTGAGTTGAGCACAACTTGTAGCGACCCTATGAACAAAAGGCATGAAGCCTTTCTACAACAATCATTTACCAAAGTTCAGAGAGTTTCCAGAGGCATGTTGTTTAGGCAGTGGATGCCACTCCTGCTTAAAAAAAAAAATCCTTACTAGCGTCTAGATAAATGTTTTTTTAACCAGGCAAGTTCTTTTCTGCTGTGCAGGTGTGTGCCAATGGGTGAATTCTCTCGCCCACCAAAAGTTGTTTAGGTTCTTTCTCTTTTGGAGTGATATGAATAATGTCAAATATGCTGGCATGCAGGTTTTTGTGTGATCATAAATTTTCATTTCTCTACAATAAATGCTGCGAGATGGATAGTTGGGTTCTAGAATAAGTTCTATAATCATATGTATCTATCTGATCTTTCAAGCTGCCACTGCCATTTTGATCCCATAGAGATAATTCCTAAAAGAGCACCTTGCTGGGGCCGACAATCTTGACTAACCAAGCTAAACTGTTTTTTGGTTCTGTGACATTTTGGAGATATTTTTGGTTTAAGTTTTAAAGACTGCTTCAGAGGTTGATCCAGTTCCTATGGTTCCAAAATGTCTTGAGTGTATAAGAATTTTTAAATCTGTTCTGCATTTCCCCCCTTTTGATTAATATTATCTTTTAACATTTTAGGTTGCTTTAGGTGAAGGTTTAAATTAAAAGTTAGTGTTCCAGTAACTAGTTTACACACAAATTACTTGTAGCATTGGTGGCTATCCCCACAATGTATCAGCAGTCTGCCTGTTTCCTCCGTGGGTGTCCTAGTTCCATGGATTCATGTTCCCTGTCCATCTATGTCTTATCTTGGCTTTAAGCAAATGTTGCCCTTTTGGTCTCATACAGCTGATTGTTCTAAGGAGCATGTTTGCCAGAGGCGTTGTTGTTGTTGTTGTTGTTGTTATGTGCCGTCCAGTCGCCTGCGACTCATAGCGACCCTATGTACAACAGCCCTCAACTCCGCTCTGTCCTGTGCCAATCATACTGTCTCTGACACTCCCATCCCAATTATCCCAGTCACTGAATCAATCCACCTCACAGAGGGCCTTCCTCTCCTGCGCTGTCCCTCCACCCTCCCAAGCATGATGTCCCTCTCCAAGGACTGGTCTCTCCTCACAACATGTCCAAAGTATGTTAGATGGAGCCTCAGAATCCTTGCCTCCAAGGAGCCACCTGGTTTAACCCTTTCCAGGACAAATCTGTTTGTTTTCCTAGCAGTCCATGGTATTCTCAATACTCTTCTCCAGCACCACAGCTCAAAGGCATCAATTCTCCTTCTATCGTCCTTGGTCATTGTCCAACTCTCTGATGCATAACAGGTGATTGCGAAGACCATGGCTTGTATCAGACGCACCTTAGTCTCCAAAGAGATACCATTGCTCTTCAGCACTTTGGAGAGGTCCCTAACAGCAGACTTTCCCAGGCGTTACTATTTATTTTATGGTCACATTTATTCTTTGACTTCTGGAAGTATCTTGTATCAGTTTAGAAGGTTGTCTTAGCACAAAAGTCTTGAGGGTTCTTCTTGTCAATTTCAGACCAGTCAAGCTGGGTGGGATTTTTGGGGGGGGAGGGGGTCATGTTTTGTTTTGGGGGTTTGTTTGTTTTTTTTTAGCTTTACTTGGAATTTTGTTCTACATTTAATTCTGTGTACTTTGGACATGTTATCAAGAAGTACCAGTCTTTCATAAAGTAGAGGATCATTGAGAAGAATAAGACCTTGAAGGAGTTTCATTGACACAGTGCAGCAATGAGTTCCAACATAGCACCAACGTGAGGATGATGCAGGAGCAGGCAGTGTTCCACTGTGATGCACAGGGCTGCTGTAAGTCAAAACAGACTCCGTGGGCCCTAACTATAGCAGTAATAGAGGGACAGAGGAACTTGTCAACTATGTCATAGGGGTGCTGTCAGGAATATCTATAAAGAAAAGAAATCTGTGGGAAATGACAAGTCAGGTTGTTCCTTCATTAAAAGTGCTGGAGGTAAAGACTTGAAAAGGGGAAGCTCTGAAATAAAAGTCTTAAAAGTCATATGAACCAATTGCAACATGCAGACCTGTTGTGGATGTGAAGGATATAGAATCTACTATGGGCTGCCAAGAGAACAAACCAATCTGCCCTGGTGGAAGGAAATAGAGCCAATGTGTTCCTTAGAAGCAGGGATGGGCTTCATATTACCTATTTGGAACATATTATCATCAGCAGGGATCTGTCCCTGGAAGAGGACATTCCACTTGGTGAAAGAGAGTCAGTGAAAGACATGAAAATTCTCAATGAGATGAATCAACACAGCAACTGGAGGAGTGGACTTGAGCACAGGAGAGTTTGTGAGGATAGGACAGGACCAGGCAAGGTTTCATGAACCTGATGTGTCAAAACCAATTCAACAACTCTTCACAACAATGATGGGTTTTTTTAATGGTTCTAAGAACAGTCTGTAATAGTTTTAATGGTTAATTTTATGTTGTTGTTGTTGTTGTTTATAGTGTGTATATTTTACCACAATAACAAAAGAGATCTTTGAGATAAATGCAAATATCATATATGGTGAGTAGAAATTACTGGTACTTTTAAGATGTAATCATTATCTGTATGTGTTTAAAGAGTTTGCCCTTCTGAGATATAAGCTGAAATAAGATGGGGGAAAATAATACCATGTCTTCAAAATAACACAAGTGAGAGTAAATGGGACATAATAGGCCATGAATCAATAGTGGTTGAAACTGGGTTATTTGTAGTTCGGTGTGTACTGTAATGTTCTGTCTCCCTTTGAGGATATTTGAGATTACAGTAGCTGCCAGAGGTGCTGAGACAATGGGCTTCCAGGCCCCCTAACTGTGCCCCTTTGTCTCCATGCAGTGCTCCAAGAGCTGCCAAGGTGGTTTCCGGGTCCGGGAGGTACGGTGTCTGTCAGATGACATGACCTTAAGTAACCTGTGTGACCCTCAACTGAAACCTGAAGAAAGAGAATCTTGTAACCCTCAAGACTGTGTCCCTGAAGTGGGTAAGTCTGGATCCATTTCTTGGAGGAAAATATCTGGCTTTCCTATCACATTATTCAGCTTGAAAATACTGAGCCTTTCTATATCGCTCTGTGGCCTTGGGCACACAGTCATGGAGTTGGAGGGTCTAAGTCATTTTGGCGTGATAAGTTTCATAGCCTATGGTGACTGTTAACAGCCTGCATCACCATCCAAGCCACCCACCAAAGACAGACTTCAGTGTGTTGATGAAATGATCTTGCTCTCAGAAATCTGGTCTTATCATCCAGTAGGTCAAAGTAGTGAGATTTCAGCTTCCCACTGTAGCTGCAAATAGTGTTTACTGGAGCATGGGAGAAGATGCTGAGCCCAGCAACGGGCCTACAGAGGAGAGAGGAAGTGGGAATGAGGAGAGCCAGAGCTGGAGCATCTAACCAGATAGCCGAGGCACAGCTGACGGTCATGTCCAAGGCTGCAAACCTTAGTGAGAAGAGATTCATGGTTATCTTTCTTCCTCAGATCAGCCAGTGGATTTGAATAGCTAGGGATACTCAGCCTTTGGGTTAAAAAGTCCCCAGGGACTGCCCTACCAGCGCTCCTTCTAGAAGTGTTGTTGTTGTTGTTGTTATGTGCTGTCAAGTCATTTGCGACTCATAACGATCCTATGTACAACAGCCTGTACAACAGCCTGTATAACAGCCCTGCTCTATCCTGTGCCAATAGCACTGCCTCTGACACATCCCGATTACCCCAGTCACTGAATCAATTCACCTCCTAGAGGGTCCTGCGCCTGCCCTCCACCCTCCCAAGCATGATGTCCCTCTCCAAGGACCGGTCCCTCCTTACAACATGTCCAAAGTATGTCAGACAAAGCCTCAGAATCCTTGCTTCCAAGGAGCAGCCCAGTTTAACCATCTCCAGGATGAACCTGTTTGTTTTCTTAGCAAAAGTGTTAGGAAACAAATATGGTGTTGTTGGTTATAAGCTTCATAAGTCAGATACCCAGAGGCCTTATGAGTGAATGCTGTTGTGGTGGTGTGCTGTCAAGTTAGAACTGGCCCATAGCTGACCCTCCAGCAGTTTTCAGAGGTAGTTTCATGGGAGGAGGTTGCCCGTCCTTCTCTTGTGGTGCATTTAAACCACATGCTTTTGGGAGTGCAGTGCAGCTACTTACCACTAGACCACCAGAGCTCCATGTACCTTCAAGGTTAGAAGCAGCCCATAGGTGACCCGCCAGTGGGTTATTATAATCAGTTAATCACACAGGAGGAAATTGCCCATCTTTCTCCCACAGGGCAACTGGTAGATTTGAACCTTGTAGCATTGGGTTGCCAGTACAACTCCTTGCCTCTGGGTAGACCACCAGAGCTCCCTCTGGCTGGATAGGATAACATAAAGATGTGTCTTCGTTTAAAGGCACTCTGGTAGTGTGAGGCATTACATGTTATACTGTGATCCAAGGATCAGTGGTGCAGACCCACTAGCCAATCAACTAGAGAAAGAACGATTGCGGATCTCTGCCATAAAGGTTTAGAGCCTCAAAAACCCCCCAGAAGGCCACTATGAGTAGGAATTGATGATGGCAGTGGGTTTGAGTTTGGGTTTTTAACCAAGTTAGAAGGAGAAAAGAAAGAGATAGAGAAGATTATAAGAAAGCATTTCCACACATCTTATTTAGAAGGTATCTGACAATACCCATTGTATTGTATTGTATGTGAGGAAAAGACCCAGACAGGAGTCATTGGACTAAGTGTGAAGTAATTGTTCATTGCTGGTTTCTGAACACAAATATATCCTTTCTAGTTGCCACTTCCCTTAACTTCGACAAAACCACACATAGTTGAAACTTAATTTTAAATTTGGAACCCAAATTGTGCACTTAAATGGCTTTTAAACAGATTATACTTACAATACAGCATCGAAAAAATTCTGCACATTATGCCCACTTGTCTCAAACGTGGCAGTGTAATTAAATATGTAGAAACTGCCAGGTTCTTAGAATTGAGCGTATCATTTTCAAAGCTAAGGGAGGCTGGTATGACCCATTATTGTGTTATAGAGAGTTGACATTCAGCTGGTAAACATCTGTCAAAGATTTCTTATTTATGTGATGAGGTACAGATTTTTTTTTAACCAATCTGGATCTTTTATTCTTCTGAATTTATGGTGTATTTCTAGGGAGAAAAAAACAACTGCTTCATGTCCAGTTGTATAATATGCATATAAGGGCAATGTTGTTGTTGTTAGGTGCTGTCAAGTCTGCTATTCATAGCAACCCTGTGAACAGTAGGTCTGAGTCTTAGCCCGCCCTGCACCAGCCTCCTAATCGCGGTGGTAGTCACTCTATCAGTCCATGTCATTGAAGGTCTTCCTCTGTTTTGGTGATCCTCTCCCTTTCCCAGCATAACTTCTCCCTCTAAGGACTGATTTCTCCTGGAAATATGTCCAAAATAATTGAGACAAAGTTTCTTCATCTTTGCCTCTAAGAAGCACTCTGGCTGCACTTTCAAGACTAATTTGTCTTTTCGCAATCCATGGGATGTTCAACACTGTTCTCCAACACCACAGTTCAAAGGCATCAATTCTTCAGTCTTTCTCATTCATCGTCCAACTTTCAGATGCATAAGAAGTAACTAAAAATGCTAAGACTTGATTGAATCAGGCACACCTTAGTCTTTAAACCAACACCCTTACTCTTTAGAAATTTAGAAAGGTCCTTGACAGCAGCTTTCCTCATTGCAATGTGTCTTTTGACTTCTTGACTGCTGGAACCAAGGGTGTTGATTGTGGATCCAAGCAAGATTACAACATTGGCTTTTGCACATATGGTCAGCAGGAAGGGGCCAGGCAATGGCATGAACTACTCAAGACTTTCCTTAGTCAAGAGGTAAAGGGAGAGGAACTCATGGTTGAGTGTCCTCCTAACTGGACATCCTGCCTCATAGCTTTTATGGACAAGCTGCTCATTACAAAGGCAGTAAAATACTATTAACTGGGCTTCAAGATGGTTTTTACTGTTTCTTTTCTTGTTTGCTGACCTTCCTTGTTTCTGTAACCACATCAATAACATAAGGCAGTGTCAGAGGGAGAATTAAGGTTTTGTACATGTACACATACACACACACATCCATTAGACAGAGCATATGTTTCATCTTTCAAACATAACCTAGGCAGCATCTGTTTTGATCACCTTAACTCCTACTACTCCTCCTTGTTGTTATTTTTTAAAGGATTATTTAGGTTTGTTGTTGTTGGGTACCATCAAGTCAGAACCAACCCATAGCTGACGAGCAGGTTTTCAGAGGCAGTTAATCGCATAGGAGGTGATTGCCTATTCTTCTCCTCAGGAGCAGCTGGGGGATTTGAACCACATGTCTTGAGTTTGCAGCACAGCTTACCACTAGAGCTCCCTTGATATGCTTGAACCCATTGTAACAGTTACTGTGCCAATCCATCTTGCTAAGGATCTTTTTGCTTTATACATTAGGTTTTAATACAGATACTGTATCAAATGTATTTAATTTAATTGTATTTTTAAAAGGTAGTGTATTTGATAAAGCAGTGTAAAGAGCAGAATATAAGCGAAACAGGTATCTTATAATTAAGAGATGCATACTTGCTAGTAGTCTTTGAGCAACCTCCGTTGTCCAAAAAGAATGTCCTTAAGCAAATGCAAGAATTTAATAATTTAGATTGTGCTGGTGAGGCAGAATGGTGGAAGGCTTCTTCTCTGCTCTAGGACCTAAAACTTCCTTTGGGATATATTAAGTACCAGTATTGCTATATAAAGGACCAATATTTCCTTAAGGGGAAAAAAGAATAGAAAAAAAAGACGTTATTAAGAAGCTTTACACACAAATGAACTCCAAAGATATACAGTATCTTTGTGCCAAAGAAAAACAAAAAGGAGATGTGGTGAGTTAAGCTGACCAAGGCAGAAGCTGCCTAAATTATGTTTACAAGACAAAGCAAACTATCTAATGGATATGTGGATGTGCAAAATCTTGATTCTCCTGCTGACGCTGCCTTCTGATATGGATGTGGTTTTGGAAACAGGGAAGATCAGCAAATAAGGAAAGAGACAGTAAAAAATATTTTGAAGCCCAGTTAACACATTTTATTGCTTATGTGATGAGGAATCTGTCAGTAAAAGGATATGCAGGTCAAGAGAAACACTCGAGCATGAGTTAGTTCCTCTCTCCTTACCTCTTCACTAAGGAAAGTCTTGAAGAGTTCTCTCCATCACCGGGCACTTTTCTACAGAACAAAGAAATAGATGGTGACCCCAATATGCTACAGGAGTATCAGTGGACAACTACATCTATCATGATGTTACTATTGGTCCAGTGGTGAGGATTTTTTATCTCTTGAAATTGAGATGTTCCAATATTGAAGGCTGTAGTCTTTGATTTTCTGCAGCAAGTACTTCAAGTCCTCTTCACTTTCTGCAGGCAAGTTTGTATCATCTGCATAATGACAACAAAGATTAAGAAAATAGAAAATCTTTCATGTCACAAGAATGTGAAACTGTTCACTGCAGATTAGTAAACAGTCACAGGAAAGCCCGAGCTTACCTTAATGTCTTGAGCCGGATTCTTTAAAGAAGATCAGCAATAGAGTGCTAGATCCAGTGCTAAGGGAATTCTTTAAAACTCCAAGAAAGGTCGGTTGTTTCTCTGGAGAGCAAGGTGATAATATGTAGTAAAGCTGTGTATTCCTTGTGAGCCAGCGAGACCCAGAGGGCAGGGCGTGCACAAAATGGCTTAAAAGACAGGGGTCACTTCATCACGCAGGGAAAATAAGCAACAAACGTGGTCAGTAAGCGATGAAATGAAGTCTCAAAAGGTCATTAGCTACCTGGACTCCCCAAACAAAATACATCCATGCCCAGTTGAACTCTTCTCAGTGGGGCTTTAAACATACAAACAAAACTAAACAAAAAGCATCAAACCCATTGCCACTGAGACAATTCTCATTTGTAGTGTAACCCTGTAGGACAAAGTTTAACTACCTTATTAATTTTCTGAGGCAATAATCTTTTTGGAATCAGACTGCATGTCTTCCTCCTATGGAGAAGCTGGTGGATTCAAGCTTTTGACATTTAAAATAAATTTTTTTTAAAAAATAGCTGATCCTCCAACAGGTTTTCAGAGGCCATAAATCACACAGAAGGAGATTTCCCATCTTTCTCCCACAGAGCAGCTGGTGGATTCGAACTATATACTTTTGTGTTGGCAGTGCAATTCCTTGCCACGAAGTCACCAGAGCTCCAGAGTAGAGCTTTAGAGTAGAGCTTACAGTAGGCAAGTGACTAGAGACCAGAGTTTAATAATGGCTGCAGAAATGGGAGGGAAATGTTTTTCAGGAAACATTGACCTTATGATGCTGGTGATGGTTATACAACATGCTTGATGTTGTTGGAATATACATGTGGAAACAATTGAATTGACAAATAACGGGCTCTCTTTATTTTTACAATTAAAAAGTACACTATAATAGCAAAACAAATTTTGCAAACACCTTAAAAAGTCTGTCAACAGAAAATGAGCAGATACATTATGGAATGTGTTTACAATGAAATGCTATTCTATATGAAAGTGAATTGCCTACAGCCTTCAATAAACAAGAGTGTACCATTCAGATGTGCTGGTGAGCAAGTTGCAGAGGAGTATGTATTGTAGCTATCATCATAAACAACTTAAAGACCATGAAATGCCTCATGATCTCAAAGACCAAATTCAGGGCTTGGTTACCTCTGGAGAGGTGAGAAGAAAGGGGACGAAGATCATGGCGTGAATGCTGGGACCAGAGCCCACCAGTGAGCATTCATTTCTTCAATTAGACAGCGCAAGTCTTCACAGAATTAATCTTTATGCCTATTTCCCTTATGTTGTTGGATGCCTTCTAGTTGGAACAGACCCTCCAGTGGGTTTTTAGAGGCAGGAAATGACACAGAAGGAGACTGCCCGTTATGCTCCCACAGGAGACCTGGTAGTTTTAAAGTATGTGTTTTAAAAAAATGTGAACTCACACCCCTTATATACAGTCTCTAAGTGGTACAAATGGTTGCATGCAACTTTGGAGGTTCCAACCCACCCAGCAGTGCCACAAAGGAAAGGCCTGGTAGTCTGCGTCTATAAACAGTCAAGAAAACCCTATGAAGCAGTTCTACTCCGTAACACATGGGGTCACCAGGAGTCAGAGCTGAGCCCCCGTCAGCTAAATGGGTGATGCTGCCTCCCACTCACAGTGATGCCCCAAGAGTCAGAATCAGTTGTACCCTGTGGGTTTTCAGTGACTGATTCTTTTGGCAGTAGATTGCCAGGCCTTCCTTCTGAGGCACTTCTGAGTAAACTTGACCTTCTACCCTTTTAGTTAACAGTCTAGTGCATCAACTATTTGTACTACTCATAAAACAGCAGTTGTGTTAAGTGCTGTTGAGTTGCAACAAACCCATAGCTGACCTTCCAGTGGGTTTTCAGAGGTAGTAAATGGCCCAGGAGGTTGCCCATCTTTGTTCTGCACATCAGCTGGTGGTTTTGAACCTCTTACCTTTGGGTTGGAAGTTCAACTCCTTACCACTAAGCCACCAGAACTCCCAAGAGCCAGGGTGAAAAGCCACATCCACAACTGTTTCTGTCATTCCAGGCTGCCTGTTGTCCTCAGGTGCTCAGTGAATTTTTTTTTCCTCTCTTTCTCTCTTTTCTGCAGATGAAAACTGCAAAGACAAGTACTACAACTGCAACGTGGTGGTCCAAGCCCGGCTCTGTGTCTACAACTACTACAAGGCTGCCTGCTGTGCCTCATGCACCCGCGTGGCCAACAGGCATCCTGGGTACCTGGGGAGCAGATAACACCCCCTGCACCCTGCCTTTTCTGGGGCTGCGAGGAGTATGACTGACACTGTTCCACCAGGACACCCCAGCCTAACTAGTCACCACCCCCGACCCTCCGTAAAGTGTAACCCGTGGCTCATAGGAGCATTGTAGACAGGATGTTCCAAAGCAGGGCTGGTCCTGTAAGCATCTCCGTGGACTGATGATCTTCTCCCTGGGACTGGGCGCCTGGAAAACCAAGCTGTGGGGAGTGCACAGAGGTGGTGGCTGCTCTTCCATCCGGGCACTTTCCCCACCAGCAGGTGGACTGGGCACTGCCTCTGCCTCTGGGCTGCTGGATTCCCCTGGTGCTCCTGGCGCCCCCTGGGGGGTCAGCAGAGGCAGAGCCCCCATCCCAGAGCACCTCTAAGCCTTAATGAGAGTCTGCAACCCTCTGTTACCTCAGCACCCCATGTGCCTTGGTCCATTCTCAAAGACAGCAGAGTATCATAACTATGAAATTCCTCATGCTAATTAGTGCTTTATTGCTCAGCAGGTGTATTCAGAGGTATTTTTTAAAACCCAAAGTGCCACCTCTGGGCACCTTCACCAACAACAGAGGCTTTGTCTGCTGGGCACAGAGACTGAGAGGAAGGGGTGAGAAGTTGCCTGCTCCACCAGCAGAGCCCAGGCCCTCAGTTCTGTACTCCCACCAGTGGTCCCACCTCTGTCGCCAGCACCCAGCCAACTGTTTCTCTCCCCACCCCGCTTCCTCTCACAGCGTTACAGAGCTAATTACAATACCCTCCGCAGGCTTTGTGAAACTCCAACCTAAATATCGATGTCCCATGAGACGAGAAAGACATTGAGGTAACAAGGTGATTGCCTGGAATTCTGACTCCATTCCCAAGTGATACCCCCTCCGTGGAATTATCTGTACAACAGGGTCCCTCCCCATTCCAAGAAGCCATTGTGTTCTAGAGCAGGTTTCCAGGGTGTAGAGTTGTTCACTCTGGCTCTTCATCCCGCCACCTCGCCTAGGGATCATCCATCACTCAGCAAAACTTTTCCATGTTTAGGGAGACTCTCCCTGAGCTCGTTTTATTTTGATTTGTGGCTGTCTCTCCTTGTCGTCCTCCTCTTCCTCATGGCTCACTGCTGTGCCTGTCCCTCTCAGACCAGAGCACAGATGGATGCTGACACAGCCACCAGAGAAGAGATGGACCCCCTCGTGGCCAGAGCAGCCCAGCCCGTCTTCCTGCTTCACATCCCCCAACACTAGGGTTCCAGTCTCAGGACAGAGAAGGAAGGACGAGAGAGGCTGTGAATATTGAAAGGTGAACCATCTAAAAATCAATTGAAAGGACAAAAAAAGATATATATATATGTATATACACACACACATATGTATATTAGGACTTGAAGCACTTACTGATAAAAATCAAGAACTATAGCTTTCAGTATGGCTTAGACCTCAGCGTAAAAGGAAAATCCACACTAGACAAGTAGCAGCATCATAATAAACAGAAGAGATTAATGTTGTAAAGGGTCTTGTTATACTTGGATCCATAATCAATACCAGTGGAAGCAGCAGTCAAGAAATCACCTGGTAGGAAAAAGTGTCTACCTCCGATGGTATTTTCAGTCACCTTCTATGCATGTGAAAGGTGGACAGTAAATAAGGAAGACGGGGCATTGGATATATCGCCGATTTCCAAAAGAATAAACAAATCCATCTTGGAATAGCAGCCAAAAGTTCCTTCAAAAGGACTGTCACGGACTTTAGACATTTTATCAGGAGGGACTACTCCCTAAAGAAGGATATCATGCTTGGAAAAGTAGAGAGTCAGCGTAACAGAGGAAAACCATCAAAGAGAAGACTTGACACGTGAGGTTCCAGCCACAGGCTCTAACATAGCAGTGATGATCCTGGAACAAAGCCAGGCAAGATTGCTCTCCATTGAGCGTACATTGCTGTGCGTGGAAACTGACTCGACCTAATAACAATAACATATATTATTATTCTTTCTTCTAATACAAAAAAAAAGATCAGGATGAACAAATTATAAATTTATAGAAAATTGTTTAATTTGTGTGCCTGGTTATTTTTCCATTTTGAAAGAAGTCTTATTGTTAATTACCCCTGAGCCAGTCTCCAAATCGTGACCACCCAAGGCATAAAGAAAAGGAGCAAAATACTGCCCTGTCTTGTGCCAGCCCTGTGCTCAGGTGCAGATCAGGTTTCTGTGCACCTTTGGGATTTCATTGGCTGGCTTTCAGAAGTGGATCACCAGGCCTTTCTTCTTAGTCTGTATGAGGCTAGATACTCTGCTGATGCATTGTTAGCATCACGGCAACCCACAGGCTCCGGTAATAGATGGGGAGAGGCTGTGCATGAGATCACTGTCCAGAACTCGAACTCTGGTCCTTGGCATGAAGGACAAGGACTCTGCCACTGAACCACTTCCACCTAAATTCTTTAGAACCAAATTTCTCCCATGAGCTCGTTGACCTGACAATCTACTAACGTAATTTGACGAACATTTGCAATTTTATAAGCGGTACCACCAGGCAGGTCTGTACACTCAGGTTCCCACCAACCATCAGCCTTCAGAAGAAAATGTGGCCTGTGTGTGAGTGCCCCAATAGTTTCTGTTCAAGGCTAGTTCCTCTCAAGGCTAGAACACAATTTCCCAAAAGGACCTCCTGGGTCCTAGTGCACTTGGAACCCAGTGCAGATAAGCAACTGGTAGAAGCCCTCTTTCTCCCCAACAGTTTGCCTTTCCCCCCCTCCCCACGGGGGAGTGTTATTTGGGTTTGGTTTTTATCCCCCCCTCTTTATTTACCTGCTCTTAGATCTTACTGAACAGCCAATTCTGTGAAGGATTACTTGGAAAATGTTTTCTCACATGCCAAACAGCAGGGCAAGATCCATTGACAGAAGTAGCAGAAAGGTTAACTTTCAGCTCAAGTCAAGGAAAAATGTCCTAGCCATCAAAGATGCCCACCAATCAAGAACAAGCCCTCATCCTCGGACAGATTCACTACCGAGACAAATGGACGTCTTGTGCTTCTCCGGCTCAGGAAACCTCATGGCTGGTCTGTCTCTTCTCTTTCTCACAGTGCCCTTTGTCCCTTAAGGATCACCCAGTATCTTTTTAGATGAGCAGTGATCTTCCCTGTGAGAAGGACCACCTTGCCAATTGGGGAATTGGCTGGGATCGTATCTTTGAAACAGAAGGATTTGTTTCAGATGAAGAGTTTTTACTTTTCTGTCAAGAAGCAAACAGCTCTTCCTGAAGTACTCTAGTCTGTCTCTGGAAAGGATAGAGATTATTACAAGAAGGATTGATCACTATTTTTTCTTAGAAATCTGATTTCTACTATATTTCCTGATTGTTATTCCAGCATCTAAATGCCTTTTCTTCTCAGGACAAAACATACAGTAAAACTCTTTGCTATTTCCAGAGTTAAGCAAAGCTCACCTTTCATGACTTTCTCCCTCCAGACGTATCCCTTTCTCCCTTCTTGTTGGGCATCATCAAGTAGATTCCAACTCACAGAGACCTCATATAGCAGAGTAGTACTGCTCGTAGGGTTTTCTTGGCTCTAATCTTTATTGGAGCATGTCACCCGTTCATCTGCCCACACAGTCGCTGGGTGGGTTTGAACCTCCAGCTTCAGGTTAGTAGCCAAGCACTTAACTGTCATCGGGTATCCTTGACCTCATTTTAACAGAAGAATCCGCAGCCCCATTGCATGAACTCTGACTCATGGTGCAATCATCACATTCCTGAGAAGATTGTGCTGCTTTTTCTCATGACGCAGAGAGTGGAATTGAACCCCTTTAGGTCAGCAGCATAATGTGTGATGCATCATTTCACCAAGTTGTAATACCTGCCATCTCTCTCTAAACCCCCTTGTTGCCCCTTTTACTGTCTAGAACATGGAACTGAGAGTCACATGCCCTCCACCTCCACAGTATTACAGGGTCTCATTCTCTGCTCTTAATTTTAAAGGTAAATGAATTCAAGCTGTCACATGTTTTTCCTCACAAAACCCATCCATCTTCCAAATAAGAAAACTTGCAATTTTGCTTTCATTTATCAGAAAATGGCTTTGTGCCCCGTCAGCTGAGGCAAAAGCCATTTCATAGTTCCTCTCCTTAAGTCAGCTCGCGTTTCACCCAACCGGAGAGATGTTGTAGCATCAAACCTGACCCATAGCTTACTCTCCAGAGGGTTTGCAGAGGCTTTGAAAACATAGGATTTAAGGAGATTAAAGAAGAAATTTCCCATCTTTCTCCCACTGAGCAGCTTGTAATTTTGAACCACGTGGCTTAGAGTTGGCAGCTGATTTTTAGCTCAAGTAATAGTGTTCTTGCCATCCAAGATGCCCACCATTAAGAGCAAGCTCTCATCCTCAAGACAGATTCATTACTGAGGCGGGGGGACATCCTGTGTTCCTCCAGCTCAGAAGCCTCTTGGCGAGTTTATTTCTTCTCTAATAGTGTGTCAACCATTAGGGTCAACCCAGCTCCAAATACCACACTAGAGTGTACTTATAAACCCGACCACTAGGGGCATCAGTGCAGCACAAGGAAAGCATGTTCAGTGCTAGCTGTGTATGTAAGCTTGTGGAGAAACCAAAGGGGCTATAGCTTGGTCCCACCCTCAGGTTACATAAAGCAGGAGAGGCGCTCCCAGAGTTACCCACTCAGTGCCCTTGCTTCCCTCTTCTGGTCTGGAATATTTGGGCTTGCTTTTTACCTGATTTCCTTCAGTATGGCTCATCTGCCTGGTCTCAAAGTGCTTAGCATTCAGGTGTATGTCAGAGTAGTGCTGATTTGTCAAAAGTAGATGGTCAGGCCATTCTTCTGGGGTGAATTTGAACTTCCAGCCTTTCCAGTAGCAGCCAAAGAAGTTAATTTGGAACATCTTCAAAGCAAAACCAGTGTCCATAAAGTCAATACTAATTTACGACAATCCTGTGGATTTCAGAGTAGAACCACTCAGACATCTCCTATCTGAACACAGCTT